GGGGGGAGGGAGAGAGAGAGAGAGAGAGAGAGAGAGAGTGTGTGTGTGTGTGTGTGACTCTCAAAGGCCTCTAATTTCTTTGTTCTCTCCCTCCCTTCCCCCCGACTCTCTTTGGAGCATGCCCTCCCTCCCCCACCCACTCAGGGCTCCCCCTGCTTGGTCCTTTCCCTCAGTCCCCTTCTCTGGGGTCCTGATCTCCCAGGGCTGCTGTAGATCTTCCTTGTGGGATTCATCCTGCCCTGCTCACCTGCCTGTGTGTCCCCCGCCAGGCCTACTCCCAGGATGCCTACCTGAAGGGGAACGAGCCGTATTCTGGAGAGGCCCGGAGCATCCCAGAGCCACCCCCAATCTGCTACCCTCGCAAGACTTATGCCCCGCCAGCCCGGGTCTCCACCTGGGCCACTATGGTGCCTGAGCCCCTCTCAGCACTGCCCAGTGACCCCCGGAGTCCTGCCGCCTGGAGTGACCCGGGGCCCCGCGTCCCTTCTGCCGCCCGCACCCATCTGGACAACTCTTCCTTGGGGATGAGCCAGCCCCGCTCCAGCCCTGGTGCCTTCCCCCGCCTCCCCTCGGAGCCCCGGACGCCCCGTGCCTTCCCTGAGCCTGGCGGCCGGGTGCCCCCCAGCAGACTGGAGTGCCAGCAGGCCTTGTCACACTGGCTGTCAAACCAGGTACCCCGCAGGGCGGGGGAGAGACGGTGCCCTGCCATGCCCCCCCGGGCCCGCAGTGCCTCCCAGGACCGGTTGGAGGACGTGACTGCCCACCGCCCATGGCCCTGTTCCACCTCCCAGGGTGCCTTGAGCCAACTGGGTCAGGAAGGCTGGCACCGAGCTCGCTCAGACGACTACTTGAGCCGGGCCACCCGCTCCGCCGAGGCACTGGGGCCAGGAGCACTGGTGTCACCCCGTTTTGAGCGCTGCGGCTGGGCTTCCCAGCGTCCGTCTGCCCGCACCTCTGCCTGCTCCCCCAGGGACCTCCCCGCGCCCCAGGCCCCACCCCCACCTGGTCTCCAAGGCCTGGACGACATTGGGTACATTGGATACCGGAGCTACAGTCCATCATTCCAGCGCCGGACTGGCCTCCTCCACGCACTCTCCTTCCGGGACACACCCTTTGGGGGGCTGCCCACCTTCAACTTGGCTCAGTCCCCGGCATCGTTCCCACCGGAGGCCTCCGAACCGCCCAGGGTTGTCCGCCCAGAACCCAGCACCCGGGCTCTGGAGCCTCCCACTGAGGATCGTCGCGACGAGGTGGTCCTGAGACAGAAGCCTCCCACGGGCCGCAAGGTCCAGCTGCCCCCTGCAAGACAGATGAACCTTGGGTTTGGAGAAGAGTCCCCAGAGCCAGAGACCAGTGGGCGAGTAGAACGCCTGGGCAGGAAGGTGGCCCCTTTGGCCACTACTGAAGACTCTCTGGCTTCCATCCCCTTCATTGGTGAGTGATGGTACAGGTGGCTGTCTTGGGAGACTTGGTCATCTGTGCCCTGCTGTACCCCACCCACCTGTCACCATGGGTGGAACTCTGTGTTGAGTGCTGATGGGATTAGTCTGTTTCTCTCTGTCCATCCATCCATCCATCCATCCTTCCATCCTTCTGTGCTCTCTTGCATCCTTCTGTCATCCTTTCTTCTGTTCATTTCTCCTCCAGCCATCTTCCCTCCCTCCCTCCCTCCCTCCTAGTCTTCCTTCTCTCCCTTTCTATTCAGCTCTGTCTGTCCTTCCTTCTCTCCTTCCCTCCTTCCTTTCATCTGCCCACCCACCCACCCACCCACTTGCCCACCTATTCATCATTTTTCTTCTTTCCTCCTCCCTTTCTTCCTCCTTCTTCCCTTTGTTCATTTATTTCTCCCTTCCATCCCTCCATCCTTTCTTTGTTCTACCCTTCTTTGTTCCTTCCACTCTTCGTTCCCTCCATCCACCCTCCACCCATCCGTTCGTCCAGCAAATATTTGTGTCAGGCACTGTGCAAGGCTCCGTGCTCTCCTGGAGTGTGTGGTCCAGCGGCGGGGACAGATGATGGGAAAGAACAACCCCATGGGGTGTGTGTGTGTGTGTGTGTGTGTGTGTGTGTGTGTGTGTGTGTGTGATGGGAGTACAGGGAGCTCTCGGAGACAGAGAAGAGTGACATGGCCTAGATTGGGGTGTGGTAGCCAAGGAGAGAATCTTGGAGAAAGGGGATTAGGGCTAAGACTTGAAGGATGAGAAGGAGTTAGCCAGGGGGAGAATGTCGAGGGAGAGAATAGAATACGCCAAGTCCCTGAAGTGAGAGAGGCAGGGTGCCCTTGCAGGTCACCAGAATGGATCCAGAGGGGCCATCAGTCTCTGGGGAATTTGGACTTTACCCTGAGAGCAGAGGGGACACTGAAGGTTTGCTGCCCGGGGAACAGATACTGGGTAAGGGAGAGGCAAGAGAGTGGAGAGGCCAGGTGATTCCCAGGTTTCTGGCCTAGTTAGAGGGTTGTGCCTCGCCTCCATATTGGGAATGAGAGTGGGGCCGGACAAGGTTTAGGGTTTGCTCGCTGTATCCATGAGGGTGCAGGATGGGCTGGGTCTAGGGGCTTGAGAGAAGGACCAGAGGCAAGATCATGAGACTGGGAGCCAAGAGCTGAGAGATGGTACCTGGAGCTGAGCATGGTGAGCTCACCCTCTGTGCTGTCATGGGAGTGAGGGAGAAGAGGCCAGACCAGGGAGAGGAGACCCAGCCCTGGCCTCCCCTGGCCGGCCTTTGGTCTGAGTAGGCAGACACAGCCTTATTAAGTTCCTGGTCTGGGGGGAGAGAGAGGTGAAGCCTTTATTTTCAAACTACTCCCAGTCTGAGGGAGACACATAGCACTGCCCTCAAGGAGCCCCCAAGTGATGGAGGGAGTCAGTCTTTATCTTTAAGAGACTCCCAGTCTAGGAGCCCAGTCTAGGGAGGGTGGCTCAACCTCATGCCTGGGTCACCTTGGTGTGAAGGGGAGGCAGGGGCTGAGCCTCCATGCTCACAGTCTGGGGGGTGGGGGCCCCTTGGCCATGGGCATATTACCAGCAGGGCCTTGGAGGACTTGAGCCTTGGGGATGTGGTCTGGGCCTGGAGGTGGGGCTGGGGATGGGGGCAGGCAGGTTTAGCTTTCGGCCACCTTTATCCACCACCCGCTCTGCTTGCAGATGAACCCACCAGCCCCAGCATTGACCTCCAAGCCAAGCATGTCCCTGCCTCTGCTGTGGTCTCCAGCGCCATGAATTCAGCCCCCATCCTGGGTACCAGCCCATCCTCCCCAACCTTCACCTTTGCCCTCGGCCGCCATTACTCCCAGGACTGCAGTGAGTGCTCCTTGAACCCCAGCCCCATCCTCTCCCTTGCTGCCTGGTCCTCGGGGGTCTCTGCTGGGCCTGCTGCCTGATGTCTGGCCTCTCCCTGCTGGCTTCTGCTACCCCTGCGGCCCCATGTGTAGAGCCACCTCCTGGCCCGGGGAGCCGCCCCCCCCCCCCGCCCCCGCCACCACCCTGCTGACTCTGTGGCCCAATGTGGGCGGCTTTGCAGGCAGCATCAAGGCTGGCCGCCGTTCCTCCTACCTGCTGGCCATCACCACAGAGCGCTCCAAGTCCTGTGACGACGGGCTCAACACCTTCCGGGAAGAGGGCAGGGCTCTGAGGTGAGGACGGGATGCGGCCATCACAGCACGGCCACCCCAACCGGGTGTCCTCTACACACCAGGGCAGTGAGCTCCCCCACTCCCTGGAAGGCTCCTGAGCCTTGGGATTTGGGGGGAAATCCTCGCTGTGCTTCCCACATTCCTCACACTCCGTTCTCACTCCCCAGGCGCCTGCCAAACCGAGTACCCAGCCTGCGGATGCTGCGAAGCTTCTTCACTGACGGGGTGAGTGGTGAGTGTGTGTGCGCGTGCGCGCGAGCATCGGGGGAGGGGGGGCTGGAGAGTGACCGGTGCCTCAGCTGTGGAGCCCAGTGACCGGGCGGTCTCCTCCGGCTCCTGTCTCCCCTCCCCCCCATGCCCGATCCCCCTGGCGTTGGCCACGTGGGCTCCGTCATCACTTAAAGACATCTGCACCCTCCCACCCCAGGCCGTGGCCCTTGCCGGTCCCCCATCCGGAACTCCCCTCCACAGCCACAGGACTCCCTTGGTTACTTTCTTCAGGTTTTCTCGAACTTTTCTGAGATGTTAGCCTTCATCCCTGACATGTCATGTCTCCCTTCGGCACCTAGCTTTTTCTCCTCAGCACTCCTCCTGTGATAGGGTTTATGCGTCTGTCTCCTCTCTTGCCCGTGTCCCAGCTAGAATGTAAGCTCCGCAAGGACAGGGATCTCCCTCGGCCAGCCTGCTCCCCGGGGGGGTATCCAAAACTGCCCGCACTGGCTGGCACCGGGCAATATGTGCGTGGCGTCTTTAGGGGGCGGGGGACACGGGACAGGAGGGGGACCCAGGATTGAGAGTGATGGACAGGCCAGAGTTCCCAGGCTCCACACCTGGGCACGCCCTGGGCTCCGTTCTGAGATGGCCTTCACTCTTTGTGATTATGGACACCCTGGAGAAGCCATTTGATTTCAAACCCTCGGTATCTTTGGTTCATTTGACACCTTGAGGACATTGTCACCTGGCTCGCTCCTTATCACTTCCTCTGCTTACTTAACTCTCCCTTGACCTGTCACCTTGTTGACACTATCACTTCCTCTGTTTAACTCCTTGTGGGCTGGACTACCTGCTCCACTAACTCAGCCTCTGTTGATGTTTCTACTTCCTCTGTTTATTTAACTCCAAGTCAACACAATCGCTTCCTCTGTTTCCTTAGTTTCTTCAAGTCTATAAAGTGATGGGAGGTTCCAGATTGGCTTTTCTAGCGTGGTGAGGCATGTGCTTGGCAGGTCACGGCCTTTCCTCCTTTCTGGCTTCCTCAGCACATGCGTCCCATGACCTCAGCGCCGTGGTCCAGAGAGGGCAGGCAGGGCCCGTGAGGCCACACAGCACAGCAGCCTGGGAGGCTGCGCGAGGCCCATGGGGCTCCTGGCATGCTGGCACCATGGGAGCCACCCTAAGTTGCCATCTGTTGTCTCACTGCAGTCCTTGGATAGCTGGGGCACTTCCGAAGATGCGGAGGCTCCCTCTAAGCGCCACTCGACCTCTGACCTCTCGGACGCAACCTTCAGCGATATCAGGAGAGAAGGCTGGTTGTATTATAAGCAGGTCCTCACCAAGAAGGGGAAGGTAAGGTGCTTGCTGGAATGAGGTGGAGGTGGATGGTAGCCGTCTCCGGCAGAACTCTCCAGCTTCTGCACCCACCCCACAGCCTCTGGAGCCAGAGAGAACCAGCCGAGGCTGTAGCGCGAGGGGTGGAGGTTAGATGTCAGGAAGAACTTCCTGGGGGAACCTACAGAACTCAGGGAAAAGAGGTTAACCAGAGAGATGGGCTCTGTTGTGCCATGGGTCCGGTCAGTGTGCCTGAAATCTGGACGGAACCACCCCACAGTGATGCTTGGTTGGCAGATCCACCCCAAAGATGGACACGGGGGCTCATGGAAAATAAGGGAGCAAGGCCAGGGTGATTCTTTTAGGGGAGCTGAGACCCCAAAAGAAGGCAGAAGTCAGCCTTTTCAGGGTCTTGCAGGACGGAGGAGGAGAGATTTTAGTCTCTATCCCGAGGGCAACTGAAAGCCCTGGGGCCTCTTTCATTCGGGTTCCTGGGGAATGAATTAGAGAGGGGCCGACCTGACGCAAGAAGACCGATGAAGAGCCACCACAGCGATCCAGGTGAGCGGTGGAAATGGCTGGGCCGTGGGTGACAAACAGGATCCCAGCGTGAGAAGGTGGGGCCCCTGGGTCCACGGAGTAGGAAGGCCTTTCCAGGCTGTGCTGAGGCTGAGGAGGAAGAAGGAGACACCGCCCAGGCAGAGCTGAGCAGAGTGGTTAGCATAAACCTGGGCTTGGCCCTTGACTGCATCATGCCTTGCTGGGGGAGCTTGGGTGACTCAGCTGTCTATGACTCAGTTTCCTTGTCTGTAAATAGAGCTAACAACAACCCCTAGCACATACACCTGTTGCTGGGGATTAAACGAGTTAACCCGAGCAAAAGCGTACGCCCGGCCTGGCCCAGGGAGCTCTTCTTCTGCTATGATTCGAATTTTCCGCCCTGCCTTCTAGGGGTCTTGTACCTGGGGAGAGAACATAAGCTTTGAAGTCAGACAGACATGGAGTTCCTGCCCGGCCACTCATGGCCAGCGTAAGGCTTTGGGCAGCCTCCTCCCACTCTGTGCCACACTTTTCTGATCTGTAAGATGGGGACAGGGTTATCCTGCACCCTGGTGTGAGGTGAAGTGGCGGGGGTGGGCATTCAGCCGTGCCCTCGTCCAGTCCATGGTAATGACCGAGTGCCTGCCGTGCTCCCGGTTCGTGGTCGAGGTTCTGGGTATTTTGTGGAGAGGGAGCCAGGCCAGTCCTGCCCTGCTGGGGCTCAGGACGAGCCGAGAAAGCACATGGTGCGTAATAGTTGCCAGGGCGTGACTGTCACAGGGGAGGAGCGGAGCGGCATGCGGTAGGTGACCCCAATCTCGGCAGGGCGCAGGCAGGTGTCCAGGAGGCTGTGACATGAAGGGTGTGTGAGGATCCACAGCGGGGAGTGAAGCGAGTGCTCTGACAGCAGAGACGCCCTCCTGGACGGTCCGGGGGGTACGGGGGGCCGTGCTGGGCGGCTTCAAGCCAGGCTGAGAGCGGGAAGCCGAGGTGAGGAGTCTGGCGCTGGCTCGCGGGGCCCCATCCCCCACGGCAAGCCTTTGCAGGGGTTCCGGTAGGGGTGGGAGGTGTGTAAGCCTAGGAGGCAAGGGTCTGTGATAGGAGAAGACAAGGGCATTGCTGTTGTCCAGGTGAGCGAGGGTGGGGGCCCTGACCGAGGTCCTGGCATGGGGCCAACGGGAAGGGACAATTTGGAGCGATCAAGGGAGGGATGGCCTGGGCTTGCTGATGGCTGGGAGGTGAGAGAGGACGGAGGAGGCAGATGACGGCTATGGGGGTGATGGGGCCTTCCCCTGAGCCACAAGGCACTGGAGGGGCAAGTTTGGTGAGAGGAAGCCAAGGGTTCCTTTGGCGACTGGTAGAGTCCAAGGGCCCTGGGACATGGAGGTGTCCTGGGGAGAGAGGCTCCGGGGGCATGGCACTTGGGAAGGAGTCCATCAAGGTGTGCACAGGCACGTGGGGGAGCGTGGAGGGAGAAGGCGAGAGACCGGCTGTACCTGGAGAGGACATGGGGAATGCAGACCAAGGAGGAAAGCCAGCAAGATGGCAGGAGGGCTTGCCTAGGAGGGCCAGCGGGGGCCAGCTGTGTGGGCTGAGGAAGGGGAGCCGGGGTGGCAAACCCTTCCAGCCCAAAGTTGGAGCCCCTCTGAGGAACGGGGGAGGACAGCTGACTCCTGCCTGCCAGGTAGCCTGGCCCCCAGCTCTGGATGGCCCCCGGCAGCCCCACCACAGCGTCTCCCGGGCAGGGAGGGGAGCTGGCCCCTTCCTGCTCACTGACCAGTTCTGGAGGACAGGACCTTCCACTCCAGGCTCGGCCAGGACCCGATTTCACTTGTCCCCTCGGTGCTGTGGCCTGGGAGTTAGGAGAGGTGTCCTCAAGTCAGCTTCAAGCCCTTAGTCTGTCTGGGGAACTGATTGCCAGCCACATGTTGTCTGCTCCAGCAAGTCTAGCCTCTCCTGGGTGATCCCCCCCCACCCCCCAGCCTCTTTCAGAGGCCATTTGCTGGGGGGGGGGGGGGGGGGAGGGGCGGGTGTGACAGGTCCCTGCGGTCACAGACCTAGAATTTGAGCTGGATGTAACCTTGGAGACCAGCTAGTACCCTTTTCGTTTTGCCAGTAAGGAACACTGATGCCAAGGGAGGGGGCTTGACTCGTTCAAGGTCACCTAGCTGGTTTGGTCTCCAAGGGGCCCCTTGCCACCACTTCACTCTGATATAAAAAAAATCCCCTGGAGGGCCATGCTGTCTCCTGCTCCGACGATCCTGTCTGGTCCAGCAGGTCTGTGGTGGTGGGCAGGGCGCATGGCCCCATGTAGCTGTGTTACCTGCCAGCCGTGGAAACTCCTCACCTGGTTTGTTCAGAGGGCAGAGGCCCATGGTGGGTGAGGAGTAGTAGGTAGGCCACCAGCCCAAGGAAGGGAGCCCTCGGTCTGATGGGGGAGATGGAGCCCCTGCCTTCAGCGTGCTCCAGGGATGATTAATTCATTTACTCAGTGAATATTGATGAGCACTTACCCTGCGCCCGTGGACGCTCTAGGCTCTTGGATGTGGACATGAGAGGAGAGACAAGCTCCCTGCCCCCAGGAGCTTACCGTTTCCTGGAGAGATCCACAACCAGCACAACTGGAGGTTGCAGTAAGCACTCAGGGAAAATGAACTGGGTGATGTGATTGCCTTGAAGTTTGGAGGTAAGGTAGCAGGGAGCTGCCTTTAGAAAAAAAGGGTCAGAGAAGGCCTCACTGAGGAGGTGATATTCGTGACATTTGAGCTCAGACCTAAAGGGCAAGAAGGAGGCCACATGGAGAAGCCAGAGAAGGGGCTCCTGGCAGAAGGAACAGCAAGAGCAAAGGCCCCAGGAAAGGAAAGGGTTGGCTTGTTCACTAGAGAAGACCTCTGTGTCTTGACACAGTGAGAAAGATGTTGGTGGAGAAGTTGAGTTTGGAGAGGGAGGGACACACCACAAAGTTCTTAGATTTGATTCCAGTGGTGGCAGGAACTCACGAGAGGGTGCTAAGCAGGGGAGAGACATGATCTCATTTACATTTCAAAATGGTGGCTGCAGGGGCGCCTGGGTGGCTCAGTTGGTTAAGTGTCTGCCTTCGGCTCAGGTCATGATCTCGGGGTGCTGGGATGGGGCCCCTCATCAGGCTCCCTGCTCAGCCGGGAGTCTGCTTCTCCCTCTGACCCTCCCTGCTCTTGTGTTCTCTCACTCTCTCTCCCCCTCTCTCAAATAAATAAATAAAATCTTAAAAAAGAAAAAAAAGGAGGGCTGCAGGGGTGCTGTCTGGCTCAGTCGGTAGAGGATGCAGCTCTTGGTCTCAGTGTCATCAGTTTGAGCCCCACGTTGGGTGTAATTACTTAAAAAACATGGTGGCCAAAGCTGCTGGGTGGAGAGTGGATTACAGGAGGCGAGGGTGGGGACTAGGAAGGTTTGTGTAGTTGTCCAGGTGAGAGGTGTTGGTGGTGTGGACAAGGTGCTAGGTAGCAGGAAAGATGGAGACAGGTGGTATTTTGGAAGCAGAACAGCTGTGACATTCTGATGGGTTGGATGTCAAGGGTGAGGGAAAGGGAGGGGTCAAGGGCAACTCTCAGGTCTCTGGGCATCTGGGTGGATTTACTGAGCTGGAGAAGTTGAGCCGGGGCTGCTGTGGAGAATAAGTCTGATGACAAAAATCAAGTGCCCCATGGGGAGCAGGTAGTGTGCAGAGTGCCTACGGGACATGCAAGTGGGGACACTGAGCCGGGGTGGGAGGTGCAGGGCTGTGGCTGGGGGGGGAGGGGGGGGGTGCCAGACCAGGGATACATTTGGGAATCACTGTCAGCAGATGGGATTTAAAGCCACAGGCATGGATGACATCACGGGAGAGGCATGCAGGGAAAGGGGAGCCCAGGACAAAGTTCTGGAGCTCCCCCCTCCTTTAGGGCAGGGTCTTAACCTCAGCTCTAGTGACATGTGGGGCCAGATGATTCTTTGTGGTGGGGGGCTGTCTTGGCCATCAGGGGACGGCTGTCTTGGACATCGGGGGATGTTTAGCAACATCCTTGGCCTCTCCCCTCTAGATGCCATAGTACATCCCCAGGTGTGACAACTGAAAATGTCTCCAGACAAATGTCCCCCTGGGCACCATTCGCCCCCGTTGAGAACCACTGGTGAGAGGATGTTGTGGGGAAGGAAACCAGTGGAGGAGACCGAGAAGGAGCCAGTGGAATTAGGAGGAAAAACAGGGACCCTGGGGTGCCAAGGGAGGGTTTAGAGAAGGAAGGAGCGGCAGGCTGGGCCACATGCCTCAGAGAGGTTGAGGAAAGGGCCGGGAAGGACGGAGAAGCTGCCCCTGGCTTTGGCAACATGGGGGGCCTGCGCGCCCAGGATGCTGGGTAGAGCCTTGAGCCTGAGAGGCCAAAGAGCAGGGAGAGCAGGTGCAGTGGACGATTCTTGACCAGTTTTGCTGTGCAGGGGGCAGTGTGTGGACTAGGAGTGGTTTTACAAGGATTTTATGTAAGGTGGGCCATGCTGCGGGGGCAGCTGCTTCTGTGGGGCGTGGCCGATCCAGATGCCCTTGATGCCAGGATTGAAAGGTGCTAGTATTGAAAGGAAGATTAGGGACCCTGGGGGGTGGGGACACAGAGAACGATGGGTGCGGGCGTTCAGGCGGCGGAGCGGCTGGCCAGGAGGTGGGGCGGGGTCCCCACCGCTGTGGCCGCCCGCAAGCTCTCCTAGGCCCCCCACCCTCCCGCGGGCTGTGGGGGCGGGGAGGGCAGGCCTGGCCTCTTACGCCCTCCCCCCTCCCGTCTCTCCCCCTCCCCGTGTCTCCCTGCAGAAAGCGGGCGGCGGCCTGCGCCAGTGGAAGCGGGTGTACGCCGCGCTGCGGGCGCGCTCGCTCTCGCTGAGCAAGGAGCGGCGGGAGCCCGGGCCGGCGGCGGCGGGGGCGGCGGCGGCCGTCGCAGGTGAGGACGAGGCGGCGCCCGTCTGCATCGGCTCCTGCCTGGTGGACATCTCCTACAGCGAGACCAAGAGGAGGCACGTGTTCCGGCTGACCACCGCTGACTTCTGTGAATATCTCTTTCAGGCTGAGGACCGGGATGACATGCTGGGCTGGATCAGAGCGATCCGAGAGAACAGCAGGGCCGAGGGCGAGGTGAGGGCCCGGCCGCCCACCCGGGGCCTGGGGTGACGGGGAAGGGGGTGGGGGAGCCCCAGGGCCACCCCTCACCCACCGTGGACCTCGTCAACCTCACTGAGCCTCAGTCCCCTCCTATGTAAAGTGGGCTAACCGGAGCACACCTTGAGTTCCACCCACCTGGGCTTTGGTGTGAAGAGAACACGCAGACAGTGGCTCCCAGAGCCCCTGGCATCCTCTGTGTTCCCTGGCTGGCAGTAACTCTAATAACTGGAGGAATGACACTAATGATTATTATTATCATTATTAATTATTATTATTACTGCCTTGGGCGGGCTCTGGCACAGAGAGGTCAGCTCCAGGCCAACCTCAGGTTGGGGTTCAGGAAGCAGGGGTTTCTTCTGGAGGGTGTTACAGAAGGAGGTGCCCTGGGGCCAGAACCGTGGCTGGCACTGCTGACAGGGCTGGCCTGTCAGCGGGGCACGAACACATTGACCTTGGGAAGAGGCCAAGAGGATTGGCCTTTGGCAGCAGGCTGCACTGGTTGAGCCAGAGGCTTTGGCAGGAATTTCAGGGTAATTTTTAAATGGCGCCCCCTCTTGGGCAGCTGCACCTGCATACCAGGAGCCTGGGCTGGGGTGTCCGCCACCCCTCTCCCCCTTGGCCAGGTGCCTGCACTATGGTGCCTCGGCACACCTGCACAGATTTCACGTGGGGGGTCCTGGGCTCAGGGGCTGGTCTCTGCCTGAGGATGGTGGGCCTGGGCCCTCGTCCACGTGTGCACCTGCTCGGGCCATGGGGAGAGGGGCCCTAGTACAGAGCCCCTGGGCCACAGACCCTCTCACTGAGGGGAGACCCATCCTCTTGCTGAACCAGGCTCTGCTCTCCTCAGAACATTGTCTTTCCTTCTGTGGGGAGGAAAGTACCTGGAATCTGTGGCCCCTGCTCTGGGGGGCCTGGCTGGGCTGTCCCCAGCAGGGCATAGTCAGGGGGGGACCCAAGTGACCCTCGTTATTGCAGTAGCTGCCCGTCATGGGGCACCTCCTCTGTGTCTTGCCAGGAATCCGATCAGTGCTACATGCGTAATTCTGCACCCCAACCCCGAGGTTGCCATATTATCTCCTTTGCTACTATGGAAGAGACTGAGGCTCAGAGAGGCTAGTGGGTTACTCTAGGTCACACAGCTGGTGAGGGGGCGCTCAGGAGTCCAGCCCCGGTTTTTCTCGCTCCAGGGTGTGAGCCCTCCAGCTGACAGATGGAGGAGAGAGGGGAGGCAAAGCAGAGGCTGGGGCCAGGGATGAGACCTGAGTTGGCTGGCTGTGGGCACTGATAGGGTCTGTTTTTTCTTTCCTCTCCTCCAGGACCCCGGCTGTGCCAACCAAGCTCTGATCAGCAAGAAGCTTAATGATTATCGCAAAGTAAGGTGAGGCCCACCTCTCCTGAACAGTCCTGGCCAGGGGTTAGGGGCACTCCAGACAGAGGCCATCCTCCTGGCCCACCTCTAGGCCTGAGGGCAGCCCCTGAGTCACCCTCTGCTGGGGGCAGGCAGGATGGCAGGGGCATCGAACCCATTGCTTCAGGGATGGAGAGGGAGGTCCAGAGTGGTAGGAGGCTAGGGCAGGTGGCATGTTGGGTCACCCCAGATGAAGACTTCTCCTCTCCCCCTTTTCCTACACAGCCATAGCTCTGGGCCCAAAGCTGATTCCTCCCCCAAAATCTCTCGTGGCCTGGGGGGCCTCAAGTCTGAGTTCCTCAAACAGAGTACTGCACGTGGCCTCAGGACTCAGGACCAGCCCGCGGGGAGCAAGGGTAGGAAGGTGGCTGCTAAGGGGGTAATGTGTGTGTGTGTGTGCGTGTGCATTTGGGACGGTGGGAGTCAGCCCTGTGGGTCTGCATGGGAGCCGAGGGCATGTGTGTGTGTGGGGGGGTGCCTGTGAGGGTCTGGGGGCTCTCAGAGTCTCAGGGATGGAAGGGCCCGGAACCTGATTTCCCTCCATGACATCCCAGCTGGGTAGCCCCCTAGTCTCTGCTTGTATCTCTTCAGGAGCGGGAGGCTCATCCTCTCTGGAGGCAGCCTTTTCCATCTTTATACACTTTGGGCTATTAGAAAGTTCTTTCTTTGGTTGTACCAGAATCTAGGGCTCCCACCTTGTTGTTTTAGCCCTTGAGACCACATAGAAGTCCTTACGTTCCTCTGAGGCCTGTGTCCTCAGGAACACACACCCTCATGTCTTAGATCTTCCCTCAGGATACAATTTTCCATCAGCCCTCTGCATTCCAGTAGCTTCTCTGATGGAGTCCCCATATGTCCAAACATGGGCGAGTGTGTGTGGCCAAGTGTGGTTGCTGCCCCTCCCCAGGCCTCCCGGCTCACCCTGGCTTTGTCTGCCTTCCCCCACCCCAGATGACAGTGCTTCCCCTCCCAAAACCCCCTGGGGCATCAACATCATCAAGAAGAACAAGAAGGCAGCCCCTAGGGCTTTTGGGGTCCGGCTGGAGGAGTGCCAGCCGGCCATAGAGAACCAGGTGAGTTGCGCCATACTCTGGAGCGCGCGGGGAATGGGGGAGCCCAAGGCACAGAAGGCCAGATCTGAGGGACTCTGGAACCAGCGCTCCATCTCATCTTGCAGACGCAGCGGTTGGAGGGGTGGGGGAGCGCCCAGGGAGGGAACAGCAGAGCTGAGGCGGAGCCCAGAATCGCTGGCCTGCAGCTGGGCGAGGCTCTGGTGTTCTGTCTAGCCCCCAGACTGGAGGCTGTCCCCGCATGGGGCTCGCAGCAGCTCTGGGCTTGTGCGGCTCCAGTCTTGGTCTTCCGGCCTCTTCTGGCCCACTGCCGGGGGGGGGGGGGGGGGATTCCTGCCCTTCGCCTTCCTAACGTGCCTGCCCTGCCTGTGTCCCCAGCGGGTCCCCCTGATTGTGGCCGCGTGCTGTCGCATTGTGGAGGCACGGGGGCTGGAATCCACGGGCATTTACCGAGTGCCGGGCAACAATGCGGTGGTGTCCAGCCTGCAGGAGCAGCTCAACCGTGGGCCCGGTGACATCAACCTGCAGGATGAGGTGGGCGTGGTGGGGGAGGGGCGGGGGGCAAGGTGTTGTGTGTGTGTCTCTTGTGGTCATCGGACCCTTCGATGTGCCTGGCAGTGGGCCAGGGCGCCGAGATGGGCGAGGCAGACCTGCCCTGGCAAGCCGGATAGAGACACGCTCATGGCCGGGCAGCCCTGAGGCCAAGGCTCACAGGTGATAGTTTCTAGGGCCTTGAGGACGAACAGCGTTCACTAAGTGCCGGTGAAAGCCGTGTAGGGACATCCCAGGCTGAGGGAATGGCTGGGGCAAATGCGCAGGTCTGAAGGGTCGCCAGCAGCCAGCTCACCTCTAAAGGGCCGGGTGGCGAACGCTTTAGGCTTTGGTCACCACGCGGTCTCTTCCTCCTCTTGCTCCTCCTCCTCAGCCCTTTATTTATTTATTTATTTTTAAGATTTTATTTATTTATTTGAGAGAGAGAATGAGAGAGAGAGAGAGAGCACATGAGAGGAGGGAGGGTCAGAGGGAGAAGCAGACTCCCTGCTGAGCGGGGAGCCTGATGTGGGACTCGATCCCGGGACTCCAGGATCATGACCTGAGCCGAAGGGAGTCGCCCAACCAACTGAGCCACCCAGGCGCCCCTCCTCAGCCTTTTAAACACATAAAACCCTTCTTAGCTCCAGGGCCGTACGAAACCAGGCCGCTGGCTGGACTTGAGCTCCGGGCTGTGGTTTGCGGACCCCCTGGCTTAGAGGGGGGCGTGGGGCATTTTGTGGGGCAGCCAGCACTTTGCGTGGTTGCAGCCAGGGTCAGGAGGGGCTGGTTGGGTGAGACAAAGCCGGCTGGGGAAGGAATCTGACAGCCACACTTCAGAGCTCGCAGCAGGTTATATGTCAGTTATAGCTCCGTGAAGCTGGAAAAAAGCCAAAAACGTATTTCAGTGTGAAAAAGAAAAAATAACAGACGTATATGCAGCAGGGCCAGTGTTTCTCAAACTGTGTTCCCCAGAGGAGCTGTGGGAGGCCGGGAACAGGTCAGGAGCCCCCATCCTTGCTTGAACTAGACTAATCTGCTTTGTTCTGTTTTTTTTTTTTTTTTTAATGTCATATTTTCATATTGGGTTTTCATGTTTGACAAAAGGGGCTCTGCTGAGAAAGATGTTTTGGAAAACCGCAGATCTGGGCAATGAAGTCCCATGAGTCCCATATTGTGAAGCTTTATGTGATACATGACAGTCTTCCTGCCTCTGGGGAGGAAATGGGGAGAGATGACATGCAGGCTAGTAGCCAAGAGAAAAGGCTGATCTCTCACCAGGGACCAGATTGTGTGATGAGGAAGGAGAAGACGTTGAGGGCTGGAGCAGGTGGGAAACTTGAGTGTTGGAATCTTGGAAGGATGAATAGGACGGGGCAGGTGGACAAGAAGGCCGTCCCCGCTGGGAATGATGGCATTTTCCAAAATCCCAGAGGAGGGTCTGAGTGTCGGGAGAGAACAGACCCACCTCCTGCCTTCTTCCTGGGCTTGGCGGTGGGGAGGGTGAGGCCCAGGGCAGGAGGCAGAGGGCTTTTGACGGCTCCACTGAAGCCTTTGACCTTGATCCAGTAGACAGTAGGGAGCCTTCCCTTGTTCTTCAGCTGGGGCGGCATAAATGAGAGTGGGGTCTGCTCTAGCTTATGCCTGATGGATATGAATGAGGGGGGCCCAGAGCGGGCATCTACGGGAGAATTGCTGATATGTGGAAAGTGCAAGGGGCCAGGAGGACATGGTGGTCCCAGGGGAATAAGGCAGAGAGGAGCAGCTCTAGGAGTTGGCCGCATGAGAGGGAGGAAGGGGGGACAGGGAAGAGCCCACATTTGAGCTGGGGGCTGATGGTGTGCCTCTGGCAGAAACTGGGCAGTAGGGCCGGAGAGGGAGGTTGTATCAGGTAGGGGCCCCGCTGGATTTGGGGTGATGGCACCATTGGCACTGCCCAAGAGTTGACTGGAGGATGGGTGCCGTCATGCTGGGGCACAGAGTGGGACGATGGAGGGAGCTGCTAGACGGGCAGAGGGTGGGCAGCAGGAGTGAAAGGCCAGGCTCCGCATGAGACAGAGGAGAGGGTACAGGTAAGGCTGGGGATGAGGGACAGATACGTGCACATGGGAGTGGTCCAGAAGCCTTGGGTTTGGCAGCTGGGAGATGAGAAGAGCCCACGCCTCGGGCCAGGAAGTGATGGGGCAGGTGGGCAGGAGCTGCAGTGGGAAGCGGTGGGTATGCTCTGAAGCACATTCGCTGGGCCTCAGCCAGGAAAGAAGCATGGCCAGAGCTGGGGGGCAGCTGGCCCAAGTCAGGGCCCAGAACGTGGGCATGCCGAATGTGTTGGGTGTGTGGTTTTGTCTCAGACATCACTCCTGTCCTTTGTCATGGGAACTGCTGGAAGTTAAATTTTTTTTTTAATTTTTAAAAAAAGATTGTATTTATTTATTTATTTGCGAGAGAGAAAGCATGATCAGGGGGGAGGGGCAGAGGGAGAAACAGACTCCCCCGCTGATCAGGGAGCCTGATGCTCAGGACCCTGGGATCATGACCTGAGCTGAAGGCGAAGGCTTAACCAACTGAGCCACTCAGTTAAGTATTGTGGGCAGGGTGACTGTAACTTCTTCTGAGCCTGAGGGGAGGGTACTGTTTGTGGGATGGTGTGGCATTAAGCTGTGGACCCACTGTACAGAGCCTGTATGTTGTGGAGCTGTATGTCTTTGTGGAGAGCCTTACCTTGTGTTCTGGGCCTGAGTTACTCAGCCGTTCCTGTCAAGGCTGTTGCCCTTGACTTTGTGCAGGGTGGTGGTGCCCCCTGGTGGTCAGAGGGGGCAACGCCCCGGCCATGCCTCATTCGTTCTTGCGTTCAACAACCCATTTATTTAGAACAGGGTTTCTCAATCTTGACACTTTGGACAGAATAGTTCTTGGTCATGGGAAGTTGTCCTGTGCATCACAGAAAGTTTAAAGGCATCCCCGGACTCTACCCGCTGGATGCCAGTGGCACCCCCCCGCAGTTGAGGAAACCAAAGTGGTTTCTAGAATATCACCAAATGTCCCTGGGGAGGGGGGGTGATTCTGCTCGTGGGGAGAACTACTGATTTAGACCATTGAAGTGCCGCGCTAACTGAGCTCACCAGGTGGTAGGAGCACAGTGGGGGACAGGGCAGACAGGATCCCTGCTCCTCAGGGAGCTGCAGTCCCGCCAGACAGATAGGCAGGGACAAGGAGACAAATGTATACCAACAGTGACAAAGTGTGGCATGTGCCATGAAGGAAACAAAGTCAGGGCTGCTGCACAGGGTGGTGGCGGCGGTGGCTGTGTTAGCTGGGACTGTCAGGGAAGGCCTCCTGGAAGCGGTGCCATTTGGGCAGGGTGAGGAGCCAGGCCTGTGAAGGCAGTGGAGGAAAGTTGTAGTGGAGGGAATCAGCAAGTGCAAAAAGTCTGAGACAGGAGGGTGCTGGGCGTGAGCGACTGCTGTGTCATGCATAAGGAGAGGGGGGTGTCCAAGGATGACTCTCTGCCAAGTGGGGAGCCCTGGGAGGCAGAAGGGGGCGCTGTAAGGCCCAAAGAGGTCCAATCACCAAGGAGGTTTTGCTCACTTCTGTCCCACAGTGCTGGCACTAAAGAAGGTAGCTGGTACTTTCTGGGGGTAGGCAAATGTCGGAGCCCCCTGGGCTTGCCGGAGCAGGGAGGGGTTGGGCCAGTTGGTCAAGGGGCCAGGACCCAGCTGGGGACTGTTCTGCCACCACCACCCTGATGAGTGTCTTCTTAGCCCAGAGACCCCTGGGCTGGGTGGAGCTGTGAGTGTAGCCCAGAGAGGGCCTGGGCTGGGCTGGGCTGGGCTGGACTAGCATGGAGGTGTGGGTGCCCCGCTGGACCTGCCTGGGGCCTGATGTCCTTGCCTTCTCCCCAGCGCTGGCAAGACCTCAATGTGATCAGCAGCCTGCTCAAGTCCTTCTTCCGAAAGCTGCCTGAGCCGCTTTTCACCGATGGTGAGTAGCAGGTGGCAGTGGGAATGGGAGGAGGAGGGACGCCTGTCTATGCTGCACTCCGATCGTTTTTTAAATTGGGTTTGTTGGCTTTACTCTTTGGGGTTTTGTTTTAATGCAAGAGAAACGCGTGCTTGTCACATAGTATAGATACAAGTAAAGAAAGCTCAGAGGTCCCTGTCCCCAGAGGTTATCCTAGCACTTCCTGAGCACTGGCTCTGTGCCAAGCACTGCTCCCTCCAACAACCCCACGAGGTCCTGTATCTCCACTGCACAGACGAGGAAACGAAGGTGAAGTGATTTGCCCAAGGTGACCCAGGTTGTAAGTGTCGGAGCCAGCATTCGGCCCTGGCAGCTGGCTCCAGAACCCAGCTAATCACTCCCCTATGGATGGATATTTAGGCTGTGTTCGATTTTTGCTCTTACAAAAATGGTTGCAACGACTTTCCCTAATGTGTCCCTGCATGCCTGGATCACGTGTCCTCGAGGTAGATTCCTAGATGTAGCATTTCTAGGTCAAAGTCCTGGTTGCCATTTTTGGAAGCTAATGTCCAGTTGCCCTCTGAGAAGAAGGCCCTACTTCACACTCTGGCCAACAGCATAGGAGGGAATTTGCTTCCGCGCACCCCCATCAACCCTGGATGTCATCAATACTTTACATTTTTGTTAATTGGAAGAGAAATGTCATCTCATTACTGTTTTCATTTTTGTTTCTTTCGTTACTAGGGAAATTCACTATCTTTTCATTAATTTATTGGCCTTTTCTGTTTCCTCTCATTTCCTGTTCGACTGTGTACCCATTTTCCTATTGGGTTGTCTTTTTTTGGTATTGATTTGTAGGACACAAGCTCTTATGTAGTATAGGTATTAACCCTTTGTTAATTTTGGCAGTGGTTTGCTCCTGCTCTGTCATTTGCCTATTAACTTTGCATTGTAAGGAATTGGAAACAATTATTTTAAGTGTAGTCAAAGCTGTTGGTCTTTAATGGATTCTGCATCTCACGTTTAGGAAGGCCTCATGATTGTGAAGATATTTTCTTGTTTTTCCCAAGATTTTAATGACTTTTACTTTTGGCTCTGTAATGCAATTAAATTTGTTTGCATATTGTGTGAGCTGGAAATGGATTTTTGTTCCTCCAACAAGATAGCTAGTTGTCCCAGGGACATTTATTGACACCTGGCATTCTTCCCTGCTGATTTCAGATACTGCTTTTGTCACATAGTAAACATCCATGTGGCCTCTTCCGCTCCTTTCTGTGTCCTCATCTTGGTCCACGGTCCTTGTGGTCCCTGTGAGTCCCACACTGCTGTGGCGGTGCTGTGGTTTTAGTCCGTTTCAGTATCTGAGAGGGCACATCCTCCCTCGTCATTCTTCCTTTACAAAATAGCCTCAGCTGTCCTTATGCATTTGTTCATCAGATGAATTTTAGAATGAACTTACCGTGTTCCATGTTTTTAAAGTTCCCCTTGGGCTTCTTCTGAAGGGAGTTGGGGGCATCTTGACCCAAGTGGGGTGGGCATCTGGAGGCTGAAAGGCCCCTCCCTCTTTCTAGGTAACCTTCTCTTCTGACCTTGTGATGTCCTTGTCCCAGATGCTGGGGCAAGAGCCCCTCTTCCAGTATCAACATGCAGCTCGGGTCTTATTTCTTCCCAAGCAAACACACCTGGGCCACCCCAGGTCAGGCGCATGCCTGAGTGTCGCTGTAGTGGATTTGATCACGTGGACACAAGGCCACGGAGCTCCCCCCCACCCCCCCAGACTGGAACAGCCTGGGCCTCCTCAGCTTGGAAGCAGCTCACCCCGAGAGTGGGAAAAGGGACCGCCTCCTGCCTCTCTAAAGAGTCTTCACTGTGTTCTAGACAAATACAACGACTTCATTGAGGCCAATCGCATTGAAGACTCAAGGGAGCGGATGAAGACGCTCCGGAAGCTGGTAAGGAGACAGAGACGCCCTTAGGCAGAAAGCAGATGAGGCTGGGAGAGCACCCCTGCCCGGGGAGGCCTGGAGTCCAATGCCACCAATTCCTTCTGTGACCTTGAAGAGGCCCTTCTCCTCTCTGGGCCTCAGTTTCCCCATCTATCCAACGGGGCTGGTTAGAGGGTGGCTTCCAGACCCCCGAGGTATGGCAGTGGGAACCCCTGTGGGGCGTGGTGGGAAGGTGGGGCAGCCATCACAGACCCATGCCCCTTCTCACTGCTACCCAGATCCGGGATCTCCCAGGACACTACTATGAAACGCTCAAGTTCCTCGTGGGCCATCTGAAGACCATTGCTGACCACTCGGAGAAAAACAAGGTGGGGGGATGCTGGCGTGGAGCGTGGGGGAAGGAAGCATATAGGGTCCTTTCAGCATACCCTGTGCTCCTCCAGGTCAGATAATCCCAAGGCCCTCTAGGCGTACCCTCCTCAGAGGTCATCCTGTCCCCACCCCACCCCTCTGGGCTTCTCCCCTGGAGAGCCATCTCCTGCGTTTCTGAGCGCCTTCCAGAGGCAGAGAGCCACAGTCCCGCTGTCTGATGGAAATCTGTCCTTGGATCTAGCTTGAATCCCTTGCATTACATTTTTCTTTTCTTTTCTTTTCTTTAAAGATTTTATTTATGTATTTGACAGAGAGAGAGAGATAGTGAGAACAGGAACACAAGCAGGGGGAGAGGGAGAAGCGGACTCCCTACTGAGCAGGGAACCCGATGCAGGGCTCGATCCCAGGACCCTGGCATCATGACCTGAGACGAAGGCAGACGCTTAATGACTGAGCCACCCAGGCGCCCACATTTTTCTTTTCTTTTTAAAAAGACTTTAAGTAATCTCTACACCCAACATGGGGCTCGAGCTCACAACCCCAAGATCAAGAGTCACATACTCTACAGACTGAGCCAGCCAGGTGCCCCGCATTGCATTTTTCTAATCAAGCCTCTATATCTTCTGGTTCTGCAGCAGGGAAAATGAATGGAGCTATAGGAATTCTCCCAGTTTTAAAATACCCTTAGAACCTCCAGCAGGTTCCTATTCTGGGATCTCTCACTGTTAGCACAGTATGGGTGAGCAGGTTGGGCACTGCCCTTGGCTGCCAGGCTTGGGATGAGTAAGGCTGAAATCGGGCCTGTGCTGTACTTATCAGGCATCTCCATGCCCAGCAAGGAGGTGTCCATCCCCTAAGCCAGGCACAGCTCGGAATGTGGTTGGGCCTCGGGCCTGAGGGGCCCACAGTGAGGGAGGCCTGGGGGACTGGAGGTCAGAGCTCAGGGGGTGTGAACGCTGACCTGCTCTCCTCCCCGGCCCAGATGGAGCCCAGGAACCTGGCCCTGGTCTTCGGGCCGACGCTGGTGAGGACGTCTGAGGACAACATGGCGGACATGGTGACCCACATGCCGGACCGCTATAAGATCGTGGAGACGCTGATCCAGCACGTAAGCAGCCACGCCGGGCTGCAGCCATGTGCCCCTGGGCATCTCCCTCCTGCGCGCCTGGGTGGATGTGCTCAGGGAAGGAGGAGGCAGCTTAAGCAAATGCTCCTGGGATGGTGAATGCCCTTCAGAAGCGATGGGCTGTGTTTCCTTACCAAACAGGAATGGATCCTAGAATCCCTTTCTTTCTAGAATGTTTCCTCCCCAGCGGGAGAATCAGGAAGCCCTTGAGCTTCCAAGATATGTGTGAGGGTCAGAGGGCGGAGGAAGGTCAGGGAAGACGCTGCTGGGTTGGAGAGCCAAGGGGTGGATGCAGGGGCACCTTCAGAAAGGGACCCCCAGGAGAAGTGTCCTGGCAGAAACAGGCAGACAGGTGTAAGGGGTGGGGGCAGAGCTCTGCCTTGCCGGCCCCACTGAGGCTTCGGGGAGCAAATGGTGATGCCCAGGGGAGGGGAGGGGAGAGGGGCAGGGCAGAGCAAGGGCTGAGGCGGATCCTGCACTTGTGCTCCCTACGTCTTGGGCTGGTCTCCTCACTTCTCAGGGCTGCCTGAAGGCACCTCCAGCCCCGGGTCTCTAAGGATTCTACTGACTGTCCATGATGGGATGAGAATCTAGGGCAGCCAACAGAGGGCGCAGGAGGCCTTTGTCCTCTGGAGCCAAACCCAGGACAGCACCGCCCCCTTCTGGGCACTCAGGGATGTTTTTTGAAATCCTAGATTTTCCATTTCCAAATCTCCCTATGGCCTGTAGATGGAACAGACCCCGTTCTGCCAGGAGAAATAAGATTGGCAGCTGGCTAGGGGAACGGGGTCCTTGGCCTCTGCAATGTCACAGATGCTTTAGGGAAGGACAACCAGGTCATGCTACTTCCATCTTATAGATGAGGAAACTGGTGCTCAGAGGGGAAAGGGACTTGGCTCAAAGTCACATACTAATAAGTGACAGCCCCAGGATTGTAGGCCAGCCTTGTCTGACCAAAGTTTGTGCTTTCCTCTGTCCCTGCTGGGAGGGTGGACTCCTGGGTCCATCCTAGAGCTGACTTGGCTGGCCAGGTGAGGCGGTGGGGTAGACTTTGGTCATGCTGAATGGCCTTGCCTGCTTATTTCCTTCCTTTACTGGGTGGTCAGGGCTCTGAGCCTCAGGAGGGAACATCGAAGGCCTGTTCTCGTGCTAACATTGGGACCACCACTCCAGAGCTGTGAGGGAAGCCCAGGCCACGGGGCAGTGTCAGGGATCCTGATGGGGCCTCAGTCTGGGGCAGCTTATCTCCCTTGGAAAAGTTCATCTCCCCAACCCAACAGATAGCCCCTGGAGCCCCCATGAGTGTGTGCTTTGGGAGGGGGCCAGTGCGGAAGAGAGGGGAGGCTGGCTCCATGGCTCCTAGAGAAGCCCCCGGAAGCCCGAGGCCTGTGGTCAGCTGGGGTGTCAGGAATAGCAGCCTCTGGGAGAAGGGAGGCCCAAAGTGTGTCCACTTACCCTCCCCTAGACCCCCAAGAGGGGGTCCCCAGCCAGTGGCGGCCCCTCCTTTGGGCGGGGTGGCAGGAGGAGGAATATATCTGTCTTCTTCACGGGAGTATTCCCAGCGTCCAGCCTAGTGCCTGGCACATAGTGAACGCTCAGGGTTTGTTGAATGAATGAATGAATGAATGAGTTGCTTTTGAGGTTCTACCTGTCTGGGCTTTGACACTCAGGGATTCATTCCTGGGCACCCATGGAGCTGGAGCCTCTCCATTCTCTGCGTCCTTGGCACTTGAACATAATCAGCCTGGACAGTTGTCAAGGGAATGAGCTACCCCTCTGCAGTCCCCTGGAGTCCACCCACCCAAGTTTGCCGGTGTCCGTCTAGTCCAGAGTCAGCGTAGTCATGAGCCCAGGCAGGATAGGACTTTGGCAGAGAGCACTCTGGCTCTGGCTGGGAGCCTGTGGCCAGTCAGTGGATGGTTGAAAGTCGTGGGTGACATGACCTCGATTTCCAGCCGCAGCTGTCACCTGGCCTCCCTGCTGGGGGCTCCTGTCCCCTGTGGAACTGTTGGACAGCAGAGCTGGAAGGGGCCGTCAGGTCCCGAGACCCATCCTTGCGTGGTACAGAGGGCAGAAACTGGTGTGGAGAGGCAGGGACGTGCCCAGGGTCACACAGCACGATCTTGGTGGTGGAATGGAGGTGCACAGACCCAGGTGTTCAGCCTCCCGGTGGCAAGTCGCCAGCCAGCTCATGGCCACGTTCACTAAGCCACCTGAGACCCAAACCAAGACCGCCTCAAGGCATTAGTTCCTTGATTCACCTGGCAAACGCGTTGATTCCTACTCGCTGCATGCTGGGAGTTCTCCACCGCAGCACTAGTGACCTTTGGGGCCAGATAATTCTTCGTGGGGCGCTGTTCTGTGCATCGGAGGATGGTTAGCATCTCTGGCTAGAAGCCAGGAGCATCCCTCCGGTTGCGACAAATGCAAATGTCTGCAGACTTTGCCGAATGCCCCGCGACCGGGGGCGGGGGGCAAACTCACCGAGGCTCAGAAGCACTGGGGCAGGGGGCTGAGGGCTCTGGCTCTGGAGCCAGCCTGCCCGAGTTCACCGCGGCCTCTGCTCCTTGCTGGCTGGGTGGCCTTGACCAAGTGACTGACGCTCTCGTCTGCAGAGCAGAGAGAACAGTAATGCTTATTACCTCACGAAGTAGTTGCGAGGCTTCCGGGAGTGAATAGCTGTGAAGGCCCTCAGACGCCACCTAGCAGCTCGGACGTGCTGTGTGGATCAGTGATGGTGAACGACTGACCTCACAGGCATCACTCCACGCCAGAGGCCGCGGTGCGTGCTGGGCCCCGGAGGTGAACGGAAGCCAGGCCCTGCTCCAAAGGAGCACTGCCCAGTGAAGACCTCACTTCATTTTCTGGGCTCTGGTCAGGGAAGCCCCGTGGAAGGAGCCGACCCTTCCCCAGGTGTAGGGCTGGGACCCTAGTCAGGGGCTCCTTGACGTGTCGTCAAAGGCCTCAAGGAATTTAGCCAGGCAGAGGCAGGAGAAAGCATTGCAGGCCGAGGGAACTGGATGTGCACCAGCTAGTGTGCATTCCTCCAGAGAACTCGGGGGTCCCTGGAAGCTTCCTTCACACTTCCGGGCTCCCACAGCACTTTCGGGCACTCTCAAACCGAGTTAAAGACTGGCTTCTCAGGGCTCCTGTCCTCAGCCCGTCTCTGGGAACTGCACCTTTTCGTAATTACAGCTAACATCTATTACACACTAACAGTGTGTTGTCCTGAGTGCTTTACGTACTGTATTGCGTTATTTTTAAAAAATTTAAATGGAGGGGGGTGCCTGGGTGGCTCAGTCGGTTAAGCGTCCAACTCTTGATTTTGGCTCAGGTTGTGATCTCGGGGTCGTGAGATGGAGCCCCGTGCTGGGTTCCAAACTGGGCATGGAGCATGCTTGACATTCTCTCCCTCCCTCTGCCCCATCCCTCTCCTGCTCACACGCGTGCGCTCTCTCTCTCTCTCTCTCTCTCTCTCTCTCTCTCAAAAAAAAAATTATTTTAATGGAGTTATAATTGACATGTAACATTATATTAGTTTCAGGTGTACAACAGAATGATTCGGTATTTGTATATGTTGTGAAATGATCAGCACTCCAAGTCTAGTTACCACCCGTCACCATGCATAGTTACAGTTGTTTTTCTTGTAATGAGAATTCTTTTTAAGATTTATTTATTTATTTTAGAGAGAGAAAGTGAGAGAGAGCAGGGGGAGGGGCAGAGGGGAAGAGAGAGAGAGAATCTCAAGCAGACTCCCCCCGAGCACAGACCCTGACGTGGGGCTCAATCCCAGGACTCAGGGATCATGACCTGAGCAGAAATCAAGAGAATTTTTTTGTTAAGAGTTTATTTATTTATTTGAGAGAGAGAAGGGGAGAGAGAGAGAGAGAGAGAGAGAGCATGAGACGGGGGAGGGTCAGAGGGAGAGGAAGACTCCTCCCTGAGCAGGGAGCCCGATGCGGGACTCGATCCCGGGACTCCAGGATCATGACCTGAGCCGAAGGCAGTCGCTTAACCGACTGAGCCACCCAGGCGCCCAAGAATTTTAAAGATTTATTCTCTTAGTAACTTCCAAGTAGACAATAGAGTGTTATTAACTGTAGTCATCCTGCTCTATACTACATCCCCATCACTTATTTATTTTATAATTGGAAGTTTGTACCTTCCGACCCCCTTCATCCCCTTGGCCCTCCCCCCACTCCTGGCAACCACCAGCCTGTTCTCTCTACCTATGAGCTTGGATTTTGTTTGTCTGTTTGTTTGTTTTCGATTCCACATATAAGTGAGAGCATACGGTATTTGTCTTTCTCCGTCTGACTTATTTCATTTAGCATAGTGTCCTCGAGGTCCACCCATGTGGTCACAAATGGCAAGATTTCCTTTTTATGGCTGAGGAGTATTCCATTTCATATACACACCACGTCTTCTTGATCCATTACTCCACTGATAGACACTCGGGTCGCTTCCATATCTTGGCTATTGTAAATAATGTGCTGCAGTGAACGTCAGGGTGCAGATATCTTTTCTTGTTGTTGTTGTTTTTTTTCCTCCAGATAAATACCCAGAAGTGGAATTGCTGGATCCTAGGGTTGTTCTATTTTTAACTTTTGAAGAGCCTCCATACTGGTTTCCATAGTGGCTAAGCCATTTTACATCCGCACCAACACTGTGTGAAGGTTCCCTTTTCTCCCACATCCTCTCCAACACTTGGTATTTCTAGTCCTTTTTATAATAGCCATATGGGATTTCATTTTAATTCTCACCACAATTCTAGAAGTAGATACTCCTATTATGTCCATTTTACAGATAAGTAAATAGACTCAGAGAGGTCATTTACCTGAGGTGAACTTGAGCCTGAGATGACTGACTTTAGATCTTGCATTATTTTTTTTTTAAAGATTTTATTTTTATTTATTTGACAGAGAGAGAGACAGAGAGGGAACACAAGCAGGGGGAGCAGAAGAGGGAGAAGCAGGCTTCCCGCACAGCGGGGACCCCAATGCGGGGCTCAATCCCAGGACCCTGGGATCATGACCTGAGCTGAAGGCAGATGCCCAATGACTGAGCCACCTAGGCGCCCCATTGCATTATTTTTTTTTAAGATTTTATTTCTTTATTTGAGAGAGATGGAGAGAGAGAGCTCATGTGTGCATGAACGCATGAGTGCAGGAGTTGGGGGGAGGGGCAGAGGGAGAGAGAGAGAAGCAGACTCCCTGCTGAGCAGGGAGCCGATGCAGGGCTTGATCCCAGGATCTAAGGTGTAGGCAGGTTAATGCTTAACTGGCTGAGCCACCCAGGCACCTAGATCTTGTATTATTTCTTATTCTCTGTCCTTCCAAACCAACTTTCTCTCTGCTTATTTTATTTATTTTTAAACAAACGGTATTTTATTTTATTAAGTAATCTCTATGCCCAACGTGGAGCTTGAACTCATGATCCCAAGATCAAGAGTTGCACAGTCTACCAACTGAACCAGCCAGGCACCCCAAATATTCTGTGTGTTTTATTTTTAATTTTTATTTTTTTAAGAGATTTATTTATTTGAGAGGCAGAGCGAGAGAGCACGGGGGGAACAGCAGAGGGAGAGGGAGAAGCAGGCTCCCCGCTGAGCAGGGAGCCCCACATGGGGCTCGATCCCAAGATCCTGAGATCATGACCTGAGCCGAAGACAGATGCTTAACTGACCGAGCCACCCAGGCCGCCCCTCTGCGTGTTTTAATTTTCAATCAGTGAGCTTAGCTCATTTGCTTGATTCTAATTTCTGTACTGTTAGGGCTTATCTTTGCTATCTTAAATGTCATTTTCTCTTTACCCCATTTTCGTTTTGTCTCTCTTCAGTATGTCCTTCCTTGCTTTGGATGAATTGACTTTTATTTTCCTGATGTGAAAATTATACAATTTATAAAGTCCATACTGTGTTTAATCATACAGTTATAACAGTCCATACTTACGTTTCATTTTCACTGACAATTTCTAAACTCATCAATATCCATTGTCTTCCTTCCACCACATCTAAAAGCCAAGTACCTCAGTGTATTCTCACTCATACGCAGAGAGGTTTCTCCCTCTGCGTTCGAAACCCACGGCGTCATGGAGATACTTTGTGTGTGTTTGTGCCTGTGTGTGAGTATCCTTTCTTGGATCGACAATGGACTTTTCTTTTTTTTTTTTTTAAGATTTTATGTATTTGAGAGAGAGAGAATGGGAGATAGAGAGCACAAGAGGGAAGAGGGTCAGAGGAAGAAGCAGACTCCCTGCCGAGCAGGGAGCCCGATGCGGGACTCGATCCTGGGACTCCAGGATCATGACCTGAGCCAAAGGCAGTCACTTAACCAACTGAGCCACCCAGACGCCCGACAATGGACTTTTCTATGCTACTATCCATCCTTACTTCTCAGAGCCTGTTGCTCCACCCTGGAGTTATTTCTTTATGAGCTCATGTAACAATTAAGAGAGTCTTTGTGCAGTAAGCTTTCTGATGTCTTAGAATAGCTGTAGTTTACACTCAAAAGTGAGAGTTTAGCAGGGTATAAAATCCGAGGTTCCAAATTCTTGCGTTTGCAGTCCAGCAATACAGTGAAAATATTGTCTTCTTGTGTCTGCTGCTGCTGAAAGTTCTAGTTACAGCTGATACTTGCTCATTTGCAAGCAATCTGTTTTTGTTTTTCAGAAAACTTTTAGGGTTTTATCTTCAAGATTCTCAAATGTCACAAAATGTATTTAAGAATGGGATTTTCACTTTATTTTCTATCCTGTTTGACATTTATGTGAAAACCCTTGCCTGCCTGCCCCTCAGGGAACCTCCTAACACTTCCCTCCAGGCACTTCTCTTTCCTGGCCAGGGGAGGGGGTGCCGCCCCAGGGCAGTGTGGTGCCCAGGGCTGGGGGGGGGGTACACGGCTCTGGCAGCCACGACTGGTCTTCTCCCTGCAGTGGCCCCAACCGGCACTAGATGGCGCTGCTGCTCCCCCACCCTCCCGCTTCTGGCCTGTGGGTTGGGAGCGAGTCACCGTGATGCACACTGTACAGAGTCTAGTGATAGCCAGGCCTAGAAGCTCTCCCTGAGCCGGCACTCCATCAGTCCTCAGCCCCCTCCCAGTCCAGGCTGCGTTTCCCTCCCACCACTGGGGTCCAGCCCTTTCTCTCCCCACGGGTTTCTCATAGCCTGTGGAGTTGGGTCCTGGGATTCATCAACCTCCCTTGGGGACTTCTAGTAACCAGGTGCAGATGGGGGTTGTTGAAAAGAGGGGGGACCCTCACCTCTTGGTGCCCCCTCCTGCCCCGCTCCATCTGGCGTCTGAGTGGGGTCTTCTGGACTATGCAGGTCAGGAGCCTGTGTCTCTGTCTTCCCTCAGCCCCTTTCCACACTGAGTTCACTTCCTTTTGTCTCCTCTGCAGTCAGACTGGTTCTTCAGCGATGATGAGGACAAGGGAGAGAGAGTAAGTGATGCAGAGGGAAGGCGGGGCTGGGTCTGAGCTGAGGTGGGCCCTCGTCCCAGGCTGGGGGCCGGGAGGGGGCAGGCAGCAAGACTCAAGCAGGGGAAGGTCCCTGTCTTTGGGGCTTCCCAGTCTGATGGAGGAAACATAGACCCTCTCCTCAGGAGCCTCTAATCTAATGGGAGACACAGTCCTTGCCTTCATGAGCCCCCAGTCTAAGGGGGGAAATATAAGCCTTACCCTAAGGAAACTGAGTCCAAGTCTTATCTGGAGGATACAGGTGTTAGGAAGGTCCAGTCTGATGGGGAAGACACAGCTCCTGCCTTCAGGTGAGGGAGCAGCTCCAGCCTTTGAGGGTTCAATCAAGGTGTTGGAGAAGGCACAAAACAGTCTAATGGGGGACATGTGGGACCTGCCCTCAAGAGTGCCTGACCAATGAGAGAGACAGCCGCTGCCCTGGTGAGCCCTGGTCTGATGGAGGAGTCATGGGCCTTGCCTTCAGGTTACCCCAGTTCTGCGGGATTCACAGTCTGGCCAACTGAGGGCATGCTGGCTGACCCTCCTCCTGTTTGCAGACTCCTGTGGATGACAAGGAGCCTCAGTCAGTGCCCAACATTGAGTACCTCCTGCCTAACATTGGCAGGACAGTGCCCCCTGGTGACCCAGGTTCAGGTGAGTGCCCGGGCTTGGGAAGGGGGTGGGGGGTGGGGGTGGGATCCGCACTCCCCAGGGTCCCAGATGCCTGGCCAGATGCCCAGTTTCCCTGCTCTGCCCCAGTGGGGCCCTTCCCTGCCCCCCACCACCGAGACTGGGCTGTGGCAGGGCCTTCTCCACTCTAGGGAGGTCTGGCTTGCCTGTGCGCCCGCCTCCTTGTCTGCTCAGCGGCCCCCCGGGGCTGGGTAGGGGCTTTGTTCACCCTCCTTCACTGGTTTCCTTCCTGAGCTTTTTATTTCTCACGGGCTGTGTCCTTCTGGGCATATTTCCTCTTTTTAATTTTTCTTCCTTTTCTCCTTGCACCCCTCCACCCTCCTGTCTCTTCTCCCTGTGCTCTCCTCCCACCCCTGGACCCTGCCCCTCTCTTCTCTCCTTCCCCTCCTCCAGCGGACCTGTTGGAGATTTAAAGGGTACAGTGTGGCATTGCGGCCTCGGTCACTAACAGTGGCGGGTGATTATAAGAAGGCTGGGCAGGCCCGAGGGGCACGCAGAAAGGTCCCGGGCTGTGAGCACCTCGATGTGACATACCAGCTCCCCACGCTTGTTAACAACTTACCCCCACCCTAACCCTCCCATCTGAAAGCCCCTTCTCAGGAGGAAGGAGGTTTGTTGGAGGCAGATCCTATCCCCTTGCCAGGAAGTCTGGGCACCGCATGTTGCCCCCCACAATCCCCAGACCCTGGCCTTCTCTCTGTGCCGAGCCCGGCCACTTCGGGTTATCCGGACAGGAGGAGGCTTGGCTGTAAGGAGGACCCAGCCTGTCTAGACACGGGTGACGTCACCCCCAGAAGCCCCTCTATAGCTGCAGCTCCTGCCTCAGTTGCCTCCAAGGGCCGGCTCTTCCCGTGTCTGAAACCAGAGCCCCTGGTCACTCAGCCCTTTAGTCCTGTTTCTGGGCGTAGAGCCTCGAACAGAGTAGCCCAGAGCAGTCCCTTCTTGGCTCAAGGCACTAACTTGTCCTGCCCCATGGAGGAGCTCCCCTCAGTGTTTTAGCTGCTCCTGTCTCTGACGGAGGCATTCCACAGCACCCCTAGTCCCCAGAGGCAGGCTGAGGAAGGGCCAGAGGACAAGGTGGGAGGGGGTGGCAGAGAGGAGCCCCCCGTTTCTTCTAATCACCTGCTGCCGCACCCCTGCCCCGTGTGTCTCACTGTGTGGTCGGCCATCTGCCCTTCTCACTGTGTGCAGGGGAGGGCTGGGGAGGAGGACTCACTTGCTTGCCAGAGAGTGTGGATTAACTGTGCCTGTGCGCTGCCCCATCAGACCCCGGGAGGTCCTTAGATCAGCCTGGAGAACACCCTGCCAGGATTGGTTTCTGGTTCCTTCTCCACCCCAATGATATGAAGGGAGTGGGACCCAAGTCCCATGGATGTAACAGTTTTATTCTTCTTCATAACTCTGGTAATAAACAGGGGCCTTGCCCCATCAGGGCAGACTGACCTGGAGTCTGGAGCTGGAGCTTAGCAAAGCCCAAATCACCAGCCCACTCTACCTCCTATGTCCCGCCCACCAGCTGTCTGCCCCATACTCCATCCTACACAGGGCCCGTCGTCTTCCTCCTGTCCTGGAGTTGGGGTGGGGTGGAGGTAGATGTAGGGCCCCCACCTGTCTATGCACTGTGTGGTCTCCATTCCTTCAGAGCATCTGTGATTTGCCGTGTTTCATTGTGGTTTCTGTGGACTGCATCTGATATTTGGTATTTTCTCTCCAGTGCTTCAGAGTAACAGGGACAGGAGGGGAGGGGAGAGGAACTAGGCCCAAAGAAAAGCCCCCCCACCCCGCACCGCTTGCCCTTGACCCTGGCAAATGAGGGTCTAGGGACTGGCAGCCTGATGTCATTTCCTGCCTCAAAAGGAAGTGGTGATTGACATCATTAGCCCCTCCATCCCTGTCCCACAGGAAATGACATCAGAAGCCCATCACACTCCCAGGACCTGGGGAGAGCTCAGGTGTCTGAACTCCCTGGTTTCTGAAGCCTCCGAGGAGAGGGAATCGTGTTCACAAGACAGCCTCCTCCTGCCCCATATTAACTTTCATTTTTACTTCTCGCTCTCCCCAACAGATTCCACCACCTGCAGTTCAGCCAAGTCCAAGGTGAGTGCCAAAGCCATTCTGAAGGCTTTATCCCTGTCCAGGCCAGCCCGCTCTTTGCTTTTTGGTCAAAGGAATTGGGAGAAGTGCCCGTGGCCCTGAGGAAGGTTGCTGGTCACTAGGAAGGCAGGTGGGAAGGACTGTGTGTACGAGGTTAGCAGAGAAGCTACTCACCTTGGCAGGGCTTCGGGAGGCGTCTGGGGGAAGAGAAGGATCTCGCTTGGGAGTTAGACGCCCGGGGGGCAGCGTGCCCAGTGGTCAGAAGCACACACAGTCCTGGGACTGAGTCCTGGCTCCACCACTCAGTAGCTTCGGGACATCGGGCAAGTTGCTTAACCTCTTTGTGACCCTCAGCTTCCTCATCTGTAAATGAGGCCTGATATTTATCCCCATTTATGGGGATATGGGAACCGACAGCTATGTTTGCTACAATAACTATGCTTTTTGGAGAGCCCAAAGCAAGCAGAAGGAAGGAAAGAATAAAGACAAGAGCATCAATCAATGAATTGAAAACAATCGAGAAAATCAATGAAACCAGAGCTGGTTCTTTGAACCAGCCCTCACAGCCAGCTAGTCCTGGCTGCTTCAGAGCCTGCCTTCTGAGACAGAGCCATTAGGCGAGCATGGCTGCCCAACTCTTAGAGCTGGATGGCCAAGGGGGTTGTCTTGGTCAGCTCGGGCTGCTGTAACTAAATGCCACATACTGGGTGGCTTACACAACAGACATCTATTTCTTCACAGTTCTCGAGGCTAGATGTCCAAGATCAAGGTGTCAGCATGGTCAGTTTCTGCTGAGAGCTCTCTTCCTTTCTTGTGGATGGCTGCCTTCTCGCTCTGTCCTCCTAGAGCAGAGACAGAGAGCAACAGCACCAGCTCTCTGGTGTCTGTGTAACAGTACCAATGCCACCATCAGGCCATGGCTGCATTACCCGCCAAAGGCCCCATCTCCAAATACATGGGGGGTCCAGCTTGCTTCAGCAGATGGCTTCGGGGAGGGGAGACACAATTCTGTCTGTAGTAGTGGGTGAAATCACAAAACATTGGTGATCGAACTGGACTCGTTTCGGTCTGGATCTCCAAGCATTGGCCAGGTCCCAGTGAGCCCAGTGTGCCCGACACCAAGTTAGATGCTCATTATATATCAGAAGAATGTAGTGGGGGGGGCGGGGCGCCTGGGGGGCCCAGTCAGTTAAGTGTCCAACTCTTGATTTCGGCTCAGGTCAAGATCTCGTGGTCGTCAGAGCCGCGTGGCGGGCTCTGCGCTGGGCGTGGAGCCTGCTTGGGATTCTCTCTCTCCCTCTCCCTCTGCCCCTCCCCCCCCTACTTGCACGCTCACTGTCTCTCTCAAAAAAAAAAAAAAAAAGGAAAGGAAGAAAAGGAAAAGAAAGAAAAAAGAAGAAGAGTGTACTGGACAGAAAGAAAGAAGGCCGCTTTAGTCTGGGACAGAGGTCCTTGCAACCTCTCCATAGAACCTCTGACTGCACACCTGTGGGGCAGGGAGCTCACTCCATCAGAAGATTGCTGTGACAGGGAGCAAGTTCATCACAGTGACCTGAGCCTAGCTCCATGTTACTTCCACCCATTGCTCCTGCTAGCCTCCTGGCTTCCCATAGCCTCTCCTGGGCTGACCCCTTGACATTTCTGTGCATGTACTGACCTCTGCATTCCTGGAAGGGACCATCATGACCTCACTGCTTCTGTAACTAGCAGGAGGAGAGGATAATTTGATCAGATGGTCCCAGTGGCCTCTCAAGTCTCTCCGAGAGCATTGGCCAGATGAGAAAGTGGCACTGGCCACCCTGTGCCTTGGGGAGATCACAGCAGAGCCCCCATATTGCACAACTCCAGGGATTGCCTTCAGGAGCCCTGTTGACAGTCGCGGCCCGGGAGCCACGTGCCTCTGAATCCTGACTCCCTGACGTGCGTCACCTTTTTCAGAACTAGCTGATGTGCGAGAGTATGGTAGATTGTGGGGGCCATGCGAGGCTTCTCTGGGTCTCCATTCAGTATTAGCGCTGTGGCTGAACCAGGAGGTGGCCTGTGAGGAGGGGTCACAGGGGAGGCCATTCCAGCCCAGCAGGGGGAGCAGTTTCAGCCTCTGCTTCCTCAGGGCTTCCTGTGTTGAGGGGACTGCATTCACCCATGAGTCCTTCACTTAACATTTATTGAGCATCTGTTATGTGCCAGGCGTGGCGCTAGGGGTCATGGATGCAAACACAAATAAGCCACAGACCTTGCTCTCAAGGAGCTCAGTGTTTGATGCAGATGACGTGGAAACAGACCTATCCTGATGGGAGAAGAGCAGGTGCGGCTGTGTTTTCAAAGGGCGAGGCAAGGGCTGAGAGGCGGCCGCACGGAGGCTGCCCTGTTTCAGCTGGGCCTAGTAGGAGGATTTAGAGCACACCCAGCACATAGGGTGGGCTGGGGGGCGGTGGCTAAGGGCTGCCAGTGTTAACATGCAGGTGAGTCTGGCTGGAGTGTAGGCTGGGTTGGGGTTGGGGTTGGGGTAGGGAGGGCCCTAGGCTGGGAAAGTTGGGACCAGATTGTGAAGGGCCCTGTGTCTGAGCTTCATCCTGGTGGGAGTGGAGGTGCCCTGCAGAGTCTGGAGGTGATCAGATTCCCACCTAGTCTTAGAAGGACTGATTGCTCTAGGGGAGGAGGGACTGGGGTAAGGCAAAGGTGGAGGCAGGGAGTCCTATCAGGAGAGGGCAGAAAGGCCCAGAAAAGGCCGTGTGAGGGCCTGAAAAGAGGATGGTGAGGATGGGCTGGCTTTGCGAGTCACTTCGGGAGAATTGAGAAGAAGCAGGGGAGAGGGAGGAGGCAGAGAATCTCACCTTAAGGTGGGGAACGTGAATGCAGGTGGTTTGGGGCAGGGCGTGGGGGCATAGTGCAGTTGCAGATAGGTGAATTTCGGGTGCCTGCAGAAACCTTGTTTGAGGGGGTCTTGCAGTTGGAAGAAGAGTTCTGGAGTTCAAGGGATAGTTTGGTGTTGGCCGGTGATGGGCAGCATGGGCTCTGCTGGGGCATCCAGGAAGGCTAGGACAAGAAAACACCCACAGGGCTTAGCAGTGAGAACGGGGCGGGAAGGTGCCCAGCGTGGGGTTGGAAATCAGTGTTTGGGAGCAGCATCCATCCAGACCGTCGGATTCGGATTGTGCAGGATCCTGCGGCCTCTCCTGGCGGCAGAGCTGAGGGCTGCATTGATATGGGGATGCCGATTGTGGGTGGCGCGCTGGTGGATTGGCCGAAACCGCCCGCCCGTGGGCTGCAGTGGGAAAGGGAAGTGAACTTGGCCCATTGCCCTGGAGAGGCCCATACATACAGAGTAGGTGGAAAGGCAGGTTTCCCAGGTGGGGGTGAGTGGAGATGGAAGGGGTAGAAGCCGCCGTCGGAGGGAGGTCCCCGCCAGGATCTGGTGGTTATCATCCGGGACAGTCTATGTGAAATGGGTTCAAACTGTCAAGTGTATTCCCTGTTGAGAGACTCTTATCACCAGAGCCGTGTCTAAAGGCTTTCGCTAGCGCTGGGCATGGGGAATGGAGGGGAAGGTGGGCGGAGGTGAGGGACCGGCGCCCAGCTCACAGGAAAGAGCCGAGAGTCTCTGGATTGAGGCCAGAGCGGGTGCTGAGGGGGCTGCGGGGTTGGCTGGCTCCCCGGTGGGGACCGGGTGGGTAGTGACGCTGCCGCGGGCACAGCCCTCGGGGAAGAACGGCGGGGGCGCGGGGCCGGACCCCGTTGCGGCCGGGTGCCGCGGTGCGGGGGCGCCTCCTGCATTCTGGCCTGTCTCCCGCGCAGGGCTCGTGGGCCCCCAAGAAGGAGCCGTACGCCCGGGAGATGCTGGCGATCTCCTTCATCTCGGCGGTCAACCGCAAGCGGAAGAAGCGGCGGGAGGCGCGGGGGCTGGGCAGCAGCACCGACGACGACTCGGAGCAGGAGGCGCACAAGCCCGAGGCGGGGGCGCCGGGGGCGCGGGACCAGCCGGAGGGGCCGCTGCCGGGCGGCGCCGCCGCCGCCGCCCCCCCCGCCCCCGCGGCCCCCGGCCGCCTCAGCCCCCCGGCGGCGCCGGACGAGCGG